GAGCTCTGGCCAGGCGGTTCAGGCGGTTGGAGTCCGTACACCAAAAGGTTTCGGGTTTGATTCCCATCAGGACACACACATAGGTTGGGATTTTTTCTTACCAAGGTTGGGTATATGTCGGTTCATAAAGCTAGAGCCTCAATCAGTTTCAGATTGAAGCCGTTTAGGGTATCTCTCCAAGTACAATGGGATTAGGCTGTAAATCAACCATAAACGCATTCGAAGGTAGATTCAGAAAGAGCAGGAATTTCTAGACGGGGAGGGCACGCCTTCCGGGTAAGTCATAGTCATCCTCTCCTCCCAGCTAAGCTTCCCCCAACCACCATGCCCACCAAGAGACCATTCAGAAAAAGGAGCAAATGGAACATATTGAAGTGCGCCTACATGATGATCACCTTCTTCTTTGTGTCCTACAACAAAGGAGACTGGGTAAGAAGGAGCCTGGTCGCTAGGGAGGTAGGGGGGTTGGGGAGGAGGGAGTGGGAGGAGAGAGAGGGATGGGGAGCACAAGTAAGGGGGAGGGGAGCCAAAGAGGTGCCAAGCAAACAAAATATAGGAGAGGAGACTCCTCTTCTGTAAGTCAAAGCCTTCCTTCCTCCCTCTATCCCTCTCTCTCTCCATCCCTCTCTCAGTTTTTTGCTGTTGTTGTTCATCTTTGCCCAAGGATATTTTTCCATTGATCTTTTTGAGTGCATGGAAGAGAGGGGAAAAGACAGAGAAAAACATCGATGTGAGAGAAACACATTGATTGGTTGCTTTTTGCACGAGCCCTGACCAGGCCCCGGGCCGGGGAGGAGCCTGCAACCAAGGTACATGCCCTTGACCGCAATAGAACCCGAGACCCTTTGGTCTACAGGCCAACGCTGTATCCACTGAGCCAAACTGGCTAGGGCCATTCCCTCTCTCCAGCCTCAGACTTGGATAGCACTAACATAGCCCCAGAGAGTCCTATAAAATACCACCACGTCATCTCTCTCTCTCTCTCTCTCTCTCTCTCTCTCTCTCTCCTCTATCCCACTCTTTCCTTCTTTCTCACTACCTTTTCCTGTAGGGAAAGCCTTTAAGAACCAAGCATTTTCCCAGCCAGTGTGGCTCAGTGGTTGAGCGTTGGCCTATGAACCAGGAGATCATGGCTCAATTCCTGATCAGGGCACATGCCCAGGTTTCGGGTTTGATCCCCAGTGTGAGGCGTGCAGGAGGCAGCTGATCCATGATTCTCTCTCATCAATGATGTTCTATCTCTCTTTCCCTCTCCCTTCTTCTCTGAAATCAATAAAAATATATTTTAAAGAAAGAACCAAGCATTTACCATTTTGCTGAAGATGCTGGAAGTCGGGGTGGGACTGTGGGAGCAGTGAGAGGTGTGGCTAAGTAGATCAGCAAGACCAGGGGATGTTGCAAGAGGAAAGGAGGAGAGAGAGGTGGGCAGGGAAGGAAGGAAGGAAGGAAAGAAGGAAGGAAGGAAGGAAGGAAGGAAGGAAGGAAGGAAGGAAGGAAGGAAGGAAGGAAGGGGTGGGGAGAAAGGGAAGGTGGCAAGATGACTCGCCTCACCCTTACCATTTCTTTCTCTGTTTCTGGTTCACCCCTTCGTCAACCTCCCAGTGCTACTGCCACTACTGTAGCACCGAAATAGACATCAGGTATGTTATGGCAGGGAAGCGGGGGGGCTGCCCACTCCCAGGGTGGGAGGGCTTGGTCCCAAATGCCCAGTGTTTGAGTAGGGAACTCCAGGTGGGTTTGAACACTCCAATCACAGAATCACAGAATTATATAAAAAGTTCCAGTGTTCATCTCAAGCCACTGCCTGACATGGCCCATAAAGAGCATCACAAACGATAGGGATTTGGAGAGCGGGAGGAATTAAGTTATGAATTTTATATTGCTTACTTTTTCAGTTGTGGTAAAATATGCAGGACATAAAGTTTACCATTCGTGATATTTAGTGCATTCACAGTGTTGTGCAACCATCAGCACTATCTAGCTCCGGAAAATTCTTATCATCCCCAAGGGAACTCTGTCCCCATACAAAGTATCTCTACCCACTAATCTAGTCTCTACACCTCTCAGCCAATTACCACTATCCTCTCTCTCTCTCTCTCCTCTCTTCTTCTCTCTCTCTCTCTCTCTCTCTCTCTCTCTCTCTCACACACACACACACACACACACACACACCCATACTATGTGGCCTTTCATGTCTCACTTAAGACACTATCTTCAAGGTTCATCCAGGTTGTAGCATGTATCAGTACTCCATTCTTTTACATGGCTGAATAGTATTCCATTGAATGGATATACCACATTTTATTTATCCATTCATCAGTTGACGGACATTTGAGTTGTTTTCCACCATTTGACTATTGTGAATAGTGCTGCTGTGGCCATTTGTGAACATGTCTTTGTTTGAACACCTGTTTCCAATTCTTTTGGGCACATACGTAGGAGTGGAATTGCTGGGTCGTTTTATAATTTGATGTTTCAGTTATTGAGGAACTCACTCAATAAATTTTTATTGGGCAACTACTCTCTGACAAATCCTGGATTAGTTAAAACGATAAATTTTATGTTATGTGGATTTTACCACAATTTAAAAAAACTATAAAAGGGGTGGAAGCTAGAGTCACCCTTAAGCTTTGTTATTGTTGTTGTTGTTAGTGGGCCCCTGCACCAGATTGTGAGCCCCTCTGGGAGTAAGAGTTTACTTAATCTGTCCCTGAGACTCCAGTGCCCAGAGAAAACTTTATATATTCACTCCCTGCACCAACCCTGTGTGCTCCAGTGTGCCATGTTGGGGGTACAGTGGGGCTGTAACAGAGGAGGTCCTTGAGTCTATGAAGTTCTTTCTCTAGTGGGAGGGCAGGGGGCAAACTAAACCACATGAGTTTCATGGGAAGGCCCGAAAGGGTGCTGTGACACAGAGAAACTGGAGAGGGCGCCTTCCTTCTACTGCTTGATTAGAAGAACCCTGCTCTGAAGAGGAGATATTTGTACTGAGTAATGGGGAGGAGTCCTTATTGACTGAGATCTATGGAAGTGTGTCTCAGGTGGCGGAAAAGCCTGTAGGTTGGAGGGACAGAGTGAGTGGAGCATAGTGAGTGAGGAGAGTGGTCTAATATGCAAATTGATGCACAAATACATTTCTTTTCTTTTTCTTCCTTTTTTAGAAACGACCCCTGCTGTGCTTTCTAGCAACCCTGCTCCATCTCAGCTCAACCTTTATAGGTCCTCCATCTCCCAGGTAGTCTCACCTCCCACAAAACCTCTCTGTGCCCTGGACTGCAAATGTGGAGGGTAACGAATTGGGTCCTTTGAGGAATAACACCTGTCTGCCCAGAGGCACAGTGGGAAGGTGTCTCCGAGGGCCACACGGAGATGGGCTGAGAGGGTAGCTGAGTGAGCACTGGCAGGGGTTTCCCCCATAACCCTCCTTCCAGACCCTCTTCAACCCTTCCCCGCTGTTTCCACAATAAAACGTACACTTGTTGAAATGGCCGGACGCTCAGTTATTCCATTCGCCCAACATGGAGAATTAATACGTGTGGGGTGGCGGGGGTGCCAGGAACCATGTATATCACACAATTCTGGCAACAACCCTAGAAGGAGGTGAAGAAACCGGCTCAGAGGGTGTTGTGCAAAGTGCTGAGGTCCCAGAAAACCTGAGCGTATTGTTCTTGAATTCCCAGAGAAACGACCCAGTGGACTGGCCGTGGAACACAGGGTTTCCCGCCACACTGGCTGCCACCAGTGCCGTGGAACCGCGAAGTCCCATCCAGCCTGCAGACGGGCCACACCAGGGCAGCTGGCTGGTGCTGTGACGGTTTTCCCGCCCCCTCCAGACTTCCCCAGCACAAGGTTTTATAGAGAACAGGAGTCAGAGGAAAGCAGGGCGTGCAGGGGGAAGGAGGTGTGTTTCCGTGTAAGCTGTGTGAGATCAAAGCTGCTAGCTGTTTTCTTGACCGGGGAGCTGGCCAGGTTCCCAAGGCCTCACAGCCCGCTGAGCCATGGCCGTCACTGTATCTCCCACGGGCGGGGGGGCCGGGGGGGGGCAGATGGAGATGGGGAAGGGGCCACCGTGTTCCCATTTACCATCCAGCAGGGATTGGTCATTTGTTCAAGGTCACAAGAGTGACAGAGATGATTTTTTTAAAGAATATATGTTTTTATTGATTTCAGAGGGGAAGAGAGACGGGGAGAGAGAGAGAAACGTGCATGATGAGACCGAATCATGGATCGGCCGCCTCCTGCACGCCCCACACTGGGGATGGAGCCTGCAACCCGGGTGTGTGCCCTGACTGGGTATTGAACCGTGACCTCCTGAGTCATAGGTCAGAGCTGATTTTTTATCCAGGTTTTACTCATTCCAAAGGCTGTGTGTGTGTGTGGCTGTGTATGTGTGGCTGTGTGTATGTGTCTGTGTGTGTGTGTGGCTGTGCACATGGCTGTGTGTGTGTCTGTGTATGTATGTGTCTGTGTGTGTATGTGTCTCTGTGTGTGGCTGTGTGTGCATGTGGCTGTGTGTGTGTGTATGTCTGTGTGTGTGGCTGTGTGTGCATGTGTGGCTGTGTGTGTGGCTGTGTGTGGCTGTGTGTGTGTGGCTGTGTGTGTATATGTGTCTCTGTGTGTGTATGTGTGGCTGTGTGTACATGTGGCTGTGTGTGTGTGTGAGACTGTGTGTCTGTGTGTGTATGTCTGTGTGTGTGTGGCTTTGTGTGTGTCTCTGTGTGTGTATGTGTGTATGTGGCTGTGTGTGTGTTTGTGTGTGGCTGTGTGGTGTGTGTGTGTGTGTGTCCGTGTATGTGTGTGTGGGGGGGGTCCTCAGGGGACTGACTTTGCTCCCTAGGGGACCTTTGTCAGAGTCTGGGGACATCCTTGGGTGTCACGACATGGGGGCAGGGTGGGGTGTTGCTCCTGACACCCAGTGGGAGGCGGCAAGGGATGCTGCCCAACACCCTCCAGTGCCCGGGACAGCGCCCAGAGCAACTAGCGATCAGATCCCAACGTCAATGACGCTGAGGGTGAAAAAGAGGTGCCCTTCCTGCGTCTCCTTAATCAAAACGTAACGTCCTCGCCCCGGCTGGTGTGCTCAGTGGGTAGAGCACTGGCCTGTGGACTGAAGGGCCCTGGGTTCGATTCTGGTCAAGGGCACATGCCTGGAACAGAGCTAGAAGAAAGAGCTAGAAGGGAGCAGCAGCAACGCGACAGCGGCCGCAGGGCGACCGGGAAGTTTCCCATTTTGCCTATTCGGGGCTCGGTGGCGGCCAGCCGGCTGGGAGCTGACGGGCCGCCATGGGGTCCTCAAAGAAGCACCGCGGGAGGAAGAGGCGGCCTTGACCGCGGCGGCGGCCGGCACCGGGGGTGCCACCGAGCAGCCGCGGCGACACCGAGAGCACAAAAACCACCAGCACCGGAGCGGCGGCAGCGGCGGCGAAGGCCGGGAGCGGAGGAGCCGGGAACGCGGGGCCGAGCGCGGGAGCGAGACCGAGGCCCGCAGCGGTGCGCACGGGCGGGAGCGCGGCCGAGCCGAGCCCTCGGAGCGGGCGTGCAGCGGGAGAAGCGGGACGATGGCCCCAGGCCGCTGCCAGTTCCAAAACCAGCTCAGGAGATGCCTCCTCAGTCAGCCTCGAGGAGACCAATAAACTCCGGGCGCATTTGGGGCTGGAACCTTTGGAAGTCAGTGCCCTGGGGAAGGAGGCGGGCACCAAAGAGGAGCCTCTGGGGGCGGAGGACCCCTGGCCGGACGCCGCCGCAGCCTGGGTCGAGAGGAGCCGGCAGCTGCAGGAGGCGCAGGACTTGTCACAGAAGAGGACCGAGCTGCAGGAGGAGGAGGACTTGGCACAGAAGAGGACCTAGCTGCTGCAGGAGGAGGGCTTGGCACAGAACAGGACCGAGCTGCAGGAGGAGGAGGACTTGGCACAGAAGAGGACCGAGCTGCAGGAGGAGGAGGACGTGGCACAGAAGAGGACCGAGTTGCAGGAGGAGGAGGGCTTGGCACAGAAGAGGACCGAGCTGCAGGAGGAGGAGGACTTGGCACAGAAGAGGACCGAGCTGCAGGAGGAGCAGGACTTGGCACAGAAGAGGACCGAGCTGCAGGAGGAGGAGGACTTGGCACAGATGAGGACCGAGCTGCAGGAGGAGGAGGACTTGGCACAGAAGAGGACCGAGCTGCAGGAGGAGGAGGGCTTGGCACAGAAGAGGGCCGAGCTGCTGCAGGAGGAGGACTTGGCACAGAAGAGGGCCGAGCTGCTGCAGGAGGAGGAGGACTTGGCACAGAAGAGGACCGAGCTGCAGGAGGAGGACTTGGCACAGAAGAGGACCGAGCTGCTGGAGGAGGTGGACTTGGCACAGAAGAGGACCGAGCTGCTGCAGGAGGAGGAGGACTTGGCACAGAAGAGGACCGAGCTGCTGGAGGAGGAGGACTTGGCACAGAAGAGGACCGAGCTGCTGGAGGAGGTGGACTTGGCACAGAAGAGGACCGAGTTGCAGGAGGAGGAGGACTTGGCACAGAAGAGGGCCGAGCTGCAGGAGGAGGACTTGGCACAGAAGAGGACCGAGCTGCTGCAGGAGGAGGACTTGGCACAGAAGAGGACCGAGCTGCAGGAGGAGGAGGACTTGGCACAGAAGAGGACCGAGCTGCAGGAGGAGGAGGACTTGGCACAGAAGAGGGCCGAGCTGCAGGAGGAGGACTTGGCACAGAAGAGGACCGAGCTGCAGGAGGAGGAGGACTTGGCACAGAAGAGGGCCGAGCTGCAGGAGGAGGAGGACTTGGCACAGAAGAGGACCGAGCTGCTGGAGGAGGAGGACTTGGCACAGAAGAGGACCGAGCTGCAGGAGGAGGAGGACTTGGCACAGAAGAGGACCGAGCTGCATGAGGAGGAGGACTTGGCACAGAAGAGGACCGAGCTGCAGGAGGCGCAGGACTTGGCAGAGAAGAGGACCCAGCTGCAGGAGGAGGAGGACTAGGCACAGAAGAGGACCGAGCTGCAGGAGGAGGACTTGGCACAGAAGAGGACCGAGCTGCAGGAGGAGGAGGACTTGGCACAGAAGAGGGCCGAGCTGCAGGAGGAGGAGGACTTGGCACAGAAGAGGACCGAGTTGCAGGAGGAGGAGGACTTGGCACAGAAGAGGACCGAGCTGCAGGAGGAGGAGGGCTTGGCACAGAAGAGGGCCGAGCTGCTGCAGGAGGAGGACTTGTCACAGAAGAGGACCGAGCTGCAGGAGGAGGAGGACTTGGCACAGAAGAGGACCGAGCTGCAGGAGGAGGAGGACTTGGCACAGAAGAGGACCGAGCTGCAGGAGGAGGAGGGCTTGTCACAGAAGAGGACCGAGCTGCTGCAGGAGGAGGGCTTGGCACAGAACAGGACCGAGCTGCAGGAGGAGGACTTGGCACAGAAGAGGACCAAGCTGCTGGAGGAGCAGGACTTGGCACAGAAGAGGACCGAGCTGCAGGAGGAGGAGGACTTGGCACAGAAGAGGACCGAGCTGCAGGAGGAGCAGGACTTGGCACAGAAGAGGACCGAGCTGCAGGAGGAGGAGGGCTTGGCACAAAAGAGGACCGAGCTGCAGGAGGAGGAGGACTTGGCACAGAAGAGGACCGAGCTGCAGGAGGAGCAGGACTTGGCACAGAAGAGGACCGAGCTGCAGGAGGAGGAGGACTTGGCACAGAAGAGGACCGAGCTGCTGGAGGAGGAGGACTTGGCACAGAAGAGGACCGAGCTGCTGCAGGAGGAGGACTTGGCACAGAAGAGGACCGAGCTGCAGGAGGAGGAGGACTTGGCACAGAAGAGGACCGAGCTGCAGGAGGAGGAGGGCTTGGCACAGAAGAGGGCCGAGCTGCTGCAGGAGGAGGACTTGGCACAGAAGAGGACCGAGATGCAGCAGGAGGAGGACTTGGCACAGAAGAGGACCGAGCTGCTGGAGGAGGTGGACTTGGCACAGAAGAGGACCGAGCTGCTGCAGGAGGAGGAGGACATGGCACAGAAGAGGACCGAGCTGCTGGAGGAGGAGGACTTGGCACAGAAGAGGACCGAGCTGCTGGAGGAGGTGGACTTGGCACAGAAGAGGACCGAGTTGCAGGAGGAGGAGGACTTGGCACAGAAGAGGGCCGAGCTGCAGGAGGAGGACACAGAAGAGGACCGAGTTGCAGGAGGAGGACTTGGCACAGAAGAGGACCGAGCTGCAGGAGGAGGAGGACTTGGCACAGAAGAGGACCGAGCTGCAGGAGGAGGAGGACTTGGCACAGAAGAGGACCGAGCTGCTGCAGGAGGAGGAGGACTTGGCACAGAAGAGGACCGAGCTGCTGCAGGAGGAGGACTTGGCACAGAAGAGGACCGAGCTGCAGGAGGAGGAGGACTTGGCACAGAAGAGGACCGAGCTGCAGGAGGGAGGAGGACTTGGCACAGAAGAGGGCCGAGCTGCAGGAGGAGACTTGGCACAGAAGAGGACCGAGCTGCAGGAGGAGGAGGACTTGGCACAGAAGAGGGCCGAGCTGCAGGCGGAGGAGGACTTGGCACAGAAGAGGACCGAGCTGCAGGAGGAGGACTTGGCACAGAAGAGGACCGAGCTGCAGGAGGAGGAGGGCTTGGCACAGAAGAGGACCGAGCTGCTGCAGGAGGAGGACTTGGCACAGAAGAGGACCGAGCTGCAGGAGGAGGAGGACTTGGCACAGAAGAGGACCAAGTTGCATGAGGAGGAGGACTTGGCACAGAAGAGGACCGAGCTGCTGCAGGAGGAGGACTTGGCACAGATGAGGACCGAGCTGCAGGAGGAGGACTTGGCACAGAAGAGGACCGAGATGCAGGAGGAGGAGGACTTGGCACAGAAGAGGACCGAGCTGCAGGAGGAGGACTTGGCACAGAAGAGGACCGAGCTGCAGGAGGAGGAGGACTTGGCACAGAAGAGGACCGAGTTGCTGCAGGAGGAGGACTTGGCACAGAAGAGGACCGAGCTGCAGGAGGAGGAGGACTTGGCACAGAAGAGGACCAAGTTGCATGAGGAGGAGGACTTGGCACAGAAGAGGACCGAGTTGCAGGAGGAGGAGGACTTGGCACAGAAGAGGACCGAGTTGCAGGAGGAGGAGGACTTGGCACAGAAGAGGACCGAGCTGCTGCAGGAGGTGGACGTGGCACAGAAGAGGACCGAGCTGCTGCAGGAGGAGGACTTGGCACAGAAGAGGACCGAGCTGCTGGAGGAGGAGGACTTGGCACAGAAGAGGACCGAGCTGCAGGAGGAGGAGGACTTGGCACAGAAGAGGACCGAGCTGCTGGAGGAGCAGGACTTGGCACAGAAGAGGACCGAGCTGCTGCAGGAGGCGCAGGACTTGGCACAGAAGAGGACCGAGTTGCAGGAGGAGGAGGACTTGGCACAGAAGAGGGCCGAGTTGCAGGAGGAGGAGGACGTGGCACAGAAGAGGGCCGAGTTGCAGGAGGAGGTGGACTTGGCACAGAAGAGGACCGAGCTGCTGCAGGAGGAGGACTAGGCACAGAAGAGGACCAAGCTGCAGGAGGAGGAGGACTTGGCACAGAAGAGGGCCAAGCTGCAGGAGGAGGAGGACTTGGCACAGAAGAGGGCCGAGCTGCAGGAGGTGGACTTGGCACAGAAGAGGACCGAGCTGCAGGAGGAGGAGGACTTGGCACAGAAGAGGGCCGAGTTGCAGGAGGAGGTGGACTTGGCACAGAAGAGGAGCCGGCTGCTGCAGGAGGAGGACTTGGCACAGAAGAGGACCGAGCTGCAGGAGGAGGAGGACTTGGCACAGAAGAGGGCCGAGTTGCAGGAGGAGGAGGACTTGGCACAAAAGAGGACCGAGCTGCAGGAGGAGGAGGACTTGGCACAGAAGAGGACCGAGCTGCAGGAGGAGGAGGACTTGGCCACAGAAGAGGACCGAGCTGCTGCAGGAGGAGGGAGGACTTGGCACAGAAGAGGACCGAGCTGCAGGAGGAGGAGGACTTGGCACAGAAGAGGACCGAGCTGCAGGAGGAGGAGGACTTGGCACAGAAGAGGGACCGAGCTGCTGCAGGAGGAGGAGGACTTGGCACAGAAGAGGACCGAGCTGCTGCAGGAGGAGGACTTGGCACAGAAGAGGACTGAGCTGCTGCAGGAGGAGGAGGACTTGGCACAGAAGAGGACCGAGCTGCTGCAGGAGGAGGACTTGGCACAGAAGAGGACCGAGCTGCTGCAGGAGGCGCAGGACTTGGCACAGAAGAGGACCGAGCTGCAGGAGGAGGACTTGGCACAGAAGAGGACCGAGCTGCTGGAGGAGGAGGACTTGGCACAGAAGAGGGCCGAGCTGCAGGAGGAGGAGGACTTGGCACAGAAGAGGACCGAGCTGCTGCAGGAGGAGGACTTGGCACAGAAGAGGACCGAGCTGCAGGAGGAGGAGGAGTTGGCACAGAAGAGGACCGAGCTGCTGGAGGAGGAGGACTTGGCACAGAAGAGGGCCGAGCTGCAGGAGGAGGACTTGGCACAGAAGAGGACCGAGCTGCAGGAGGAGGAGGACTTGGCACAGAAGAGGGCCGAGCTGCAGGCGGAGGAGGACTTGGCACAGAAGAGGACCGAGCTGCTGGAGGAGGAGGACTTGGCACAGAAGAGGACCGAGCTGCTGCAGGAGGAGGACTTGGCACAGAAGAGGACCGAGCTGCAGGAGGAGGAGGACTTGGCACAGAAGAGGACCGAGCTGCAGGAGGAGGAGGACTTGGCACAGAAGAGGGCCGAGCTGCAGGAGGAGGAGGACTTGGCACAGAAGAGGACCGAGTTGCAGGAGGAGGAGGACTTGGCACAGAAGAGGA